CTATCGGCAGCAACAAAAACGAGAAAGGGAAGAGACCCCGCTCTCTCTCTCTCATCACACACGAAAGCCATCGGAGTATTGGACGAATAAAGGGTTTCTGGTCGCTTTATTATTATCTTCCAAGCACCATTGCGATAAAGCAGAAAGAAGTCCATAGCCTTCAAAGAATAAGACTCGAATCTACTAGTCAAGAAAAATATGGAAAGATTCGGGTCCCAATAAATCGTCCCCGCCGGAACTGTTCGTCGTCGTCACCGGCACCACTCACCTCCCCGCAGTCAACACTGTCATCATCTCTTTCATCATCCTTCTGAAAAAGCAGAGTACTCTGCTGTAAGGGGCAGATCTGCAAAATTCAGAAAAAAGTAAGCTATTTTCTCTCTTTGTTAGAAAAGACAGACGGCACAGTTACCTAGGCGGCCAACCCATCCTAATATAAAAAGAAGAAGAGCTGCAGTAGGCCGGCTTCACACAAGCCCACTTCCTCGCTGATGCTACTCCTAGCCCGCTCACCATCCTTCAACCGCATTCCATTAACGGATCGCAAGCCCGATACAAGCCTGCATTGGGCCCGCCTCCAACTCACAACGCGTCTGGTCCGCTTCGCATTTTGAGGCCCATCAATGAAGCCTCCGCGTCCGAGACCGCAGCCCGCGCAAGAAGTCACTTTGGGCTCGCCTCCAACTCACAACCCGTCCGGCCCGCCTCACGTCGCAAGCCCGCGCACACGCATCTGAGATCGCAGCCCGCGCAAGAAGCCCCGCCAATCACGTGCAGACGTCTTCATTTTAAAAAAATAATAGAAGGAACGCCTCCGCTTGGTTTCGAACCCGCGTCCAATGTTTGGAAAGAGGATGCACATACCACTGCACTACAAACAGCTTTGGGAATCAAGATGCGACTCTCACTAATTCGACAGTTTCTCTACTGCGTCTCCTATAGCTAAGTTCTCCCTTTCAATATATATCTTATATTATATACCATGAAGATGCTTATTACGAATCATGCTAGACAAAATATATCTCATATACCATGTCATGCCATGAAGAGAATCATTTCCACTATACTGTGATATATTTCACGCATGCTATGCTTCTGTTTGTGCTCTAAAAATAGGGGGCACTAGTCACTCACATCACAGATATAAAACCGCATCCCGCTTCCTGAGCGATGCTTCCCCTCGAGGTAGAAGCCCGAATCCGCTTCCCAGTAGGCGCGATATCGGTATAGCAAGAAATACGATCCCGCCTCCCAGTAGGTGTGGCATCTTCAAAACACAAACGTCGCCTTGAGTTAAAACTCTCAAGTCGTGGGGGCCGCCCTCCCTAGCACATAGCTAACGCCTAATATTCAGCCAACAACTCACGCTCAACATGCACACAAGCTCATGACCATCTCGCGGTCCAACAGCTTACCGCATACAGCTCACAGTTACGGCCTACATATTAGCACGCTCCGCAATGGGCTAGTGGGGAAATCTCAAACGACTTGAGAGCTCTAACTCAAGACATCGAATGCTAAACAAAGAAGTAAAGATGATGGTCGCACAAGGGGCAAACCGCATCGTTTGGACTCGCAAGAGTCCAGTCCACTTGGGGGCGTCCATCACCGGGAGGCATCCTGTCACCCGGAGGCGTCTCGTCCATCGGAAGGCGTTCATCACCAAGCAATGGTCGCACAAGGGGCAAAACCGCATCATGCGGATTCAAAAGTAAGGCAAGTTAATACACCTTAACGCATTATTTTACTCCTTCCATTCTTACAGAATACAAGAAGCAAAGGGGCAAATGTTGGGTCTAGTATTAACCCGCCTAATACGGGCCCAAGCCCACCACAAAGCGTCTCACCTTGGATCCGAGCCCATTCGAGGATCCAGTACACCGGGAGGCGTCCAGTCCATCCGGAGGGCGTCCATCACCGGGAGGCGTCCAGCCTACCCGGGGGCGTCCACCACCGGGAGGCGACCATTCACCGGAAGGCGTCCATCGACGGGAGGCGACCAGTCTACCGGGGGGCGTCCATGACAATTGGAGGCGTCCACCACCGGAAGGCGTCCACCGACGGGAGGCGTCCAGTCTACCAGGGGCGTCCATGACAACGGGAGGCGCCCACCACCGGGAGGCGTCCATTGGATGCCTCCGAATCCTATATAAGGAGGCCAGACCCTCCAAGCAAAAGGACTTCTCTCCGCTCCCTTCCCTCATTGACCATTTATGGTTCTCTCTCTAAACCCTATCTCTCTCTACATTTCTCTCTACACTCTATCATCTATCCTTACTAACTTGGGCGTCGGAGTGTAGATCACGGGGGCCGCCCCCGACTCTTCACAGGTTTCTTCCACTCCCGAGGAGATCAGACGAGGGAGTCCGGATCAAGGTTCCACACTAATCCCCCGGTACTATTCCGGGTCAAACAGGATCTTTATTGGCAGGGGGAGTAGATCGAGAAAGATTGTTGTCGGATGGCATGGCCGGCGATACGCCGCAGAAGGAAAATTGGGGCCGGCTGGAAAGTGGTGGCGGTTTGTGGTGGGTGGGGATATATAGGATGTTTGGGTTGAAGGGAGAGTTTTCGATGGGTTATGATTTTTTTTCTGAAAGGCTAAACGTCGCCCTAGTTTTACTATTATTGCTCTAATTTTAAACGTAATATTGCAAAATTATCCTTTCTTAATTAATCCATATTCAACAAAATAATAAGACCAATAAAATCCCTAATCCTCCTCCAGGCTCCAACGTGTAGCCTTCCCAAAAACCATCGGCGTCCTTCTCCCCCGCACTCCGCCGATGATCCTTCTACGGTTTCAATATAGAATAAAATCTTCCTCTTGAGAGCAGACCAAAGCTGCTCTTTGGCCTTGCCAACCAGTAACAACCCTTTTTCAACCTTATCACCCCTTGCCGGCTATTGTCGCTGACTTCTCTTATTTCCTTCAACAACGACTTCGACGCGTATAGCGTCGTCTTCCCAAAATCAATTGTGTCTGCAACTCCATTGTTGCTTCAAAGGGAATGATATGTGTGTGTCGGCAAACAAGTAAAAGTACTTTCAGTTAAAGACCCTGCATGAACTCTAAAACCAACCACATGATTGGCGTAGCCGGTGGGCATGGTCACCGCCTCATTCGGCTCCGGCGTAACGGAATTATTTATGTTAATTCTACGTTGAGATAAAGGATAAAAAGGTAATTCCATGTTTTAAATTAGGTCGATTAAAAAAGGTTAGGGCGACAATTAGCAACTCCCTTTTTTTTTACTTCGGTGAATTGTGATTGGCCAAGAATTGTGCTGACGTGGAAGCATAAGGGGAGGTAAATTTGAATCCGTGATATTCTTTAGATTAGATTTAGATTATAAATAATAACTAAATATTAAATATATAAAATGGAGTAGAGAGAACAATTTCGAGAATTGAAAACGAAAGATATTCCTCTCTCTCACTAGCATGTGCCCGGCCGGTTGGCCGGAATATTTGAGTTTATAATCTTTTAATAAACTATTATTATTGAAGATTTTTAACAATTTTTCAATTAAATGTTTTATTCATAAAATTATCAAAGTCTCACACAGTTTGAGCAGGTTTATCACGATATTCATATCATCGTTGAAATTCTTTTCTATGTGATCAATGTCATGAGATTTTTATCACTTTTGTAGAAAAGAAAAATACCTAGCTTCTCATAATATGTACCATCTCTTTGAATACAAAAATTACGAATACGTTTTATACTCATATATGAATATAGGTTACATAGCAAAGAATATGAGCACGCAACTCAAATTTGTGCTCTTTTATTTCATTTTGTTTTTCACAAATTTCTTCCCCTTTTTATAATGTGACATTACTATAGTCTACACTAATTCATAAACACAAAAATGTGAACAGAAAAACACCATACCCTTTCATTTTCTGACTTTTACGTGCTTTCTTTTTCTAATTTGTAGAATTATCCATTAATTATTAAATCAACAAAAAGTCAACTTGATATTGTTTTAATCATACCAAAATAGTCTATTACTAAATTATTTACACTCAATGCTAAAATCAAAAGGATGTATTGTATCCAATATCCTGATTTTATAAATGGTAAATTAGATAAACTCTTAATCAATCATTTTTGTGAACTCATATACAATTATTGAAAATCAATGATAATTATAAATAATATAGCTTAACCGAGAATAGGAACCACTCCAAAAAGACAAATATCTTAACTAAGAACATAGCTAAAATAAAAATGAAACAAAAAAACTAAGATATTAAGAAAACAAAAGTGATTATCAACACCACCCTCATTTATTTTAAATTTTTATTAGTAATATTTATAGATTGTAAATCAGCTATATGATCCATAACCGACTCTGTACTCGATAAGCATTTTGGAGTTTCTATCATATCATCATGTTAATTAAATACTAACATCAAACACAAATTCATTTTCTTCTATTAAAAAACTTAATTTGTAGCTATATTTCTATAACCTTAAAAATAATTTTCTCATAAAAATTAGTTTACAAAAAATTTACATAAAAACTCGAAACACCCAGTTCATTTAGAATACACAATAAAAAACATATTAGTTAAGGGTTACAAATTGATCATGAAATTAAATTATATTCCAAAAGCATAAAATGAAGGAAGTTATAGTACCAAAAAAAAGGTTTTTTTTTAATTATAGATCATTTTTATATTAGTTTTAGAGTTCAATAATCCAATAATATTTCAAAAAATAAACGTAACTGTAATGTAAAAATATAAATATTTTTTAAAAATGTTAAACATCTTTCATATTGTTTTATTCTCCATAATCTCTTCTCTCCCCTAGTTTTATGCGTGCACTACCTAAAATAAGGAGATCATTTTTTTTAATTTTAAAGTCGAAATATAATTACTCTTTTACCCTACCTACAATTAAGGAGAAGCAAGGAAATTTCAAATGGTGAAAATCCTGCAAAACTCCACCATCTTATATTCTTTAGATTTAGATTTAGAAGTCTCAACTAGCTCTCAACCGGTTCCCCTCCACCGCAAAATGTTTTTGCGGATGGCTAAACTCGCCTCTTCCCCAAACTGACCCTCATACTGTGCTCGCCTTTCTTTTTTCTCCATTGTCATCTCATCGCTCTCATTCATGGAGATCAGATCCATATCCAGCGTCCTCTAAAATCTAAACTAAGTAAGAATTTTGGAGGCATTCAATTGAGTTGGTTCTCTCTATCGAGATTTAAACCCTAAGTTTTCAATTCTCAATCGAATCTCCACTGTGGTTTCTTATATTGGTCGATTCATCATCACAATCTTTTCTTCCGTGAATTTATATCGTGTGTAATTTTGATCTTGTGGGTTGGTTCTCTAAATCAGTGTTTCTCAATTCTCAATCGAGTCTCTGTTGTTGTTCCCACTCCCACCCATTATCACCCACCATATGAGCGCTTTGTTTTTGTTCTACTTGACTCAAACCTCTCAGTATTCAATTAATCTTTTATTTGCTCTCTTGTACTCTTAATCAGAGTGCATTCCATTGTTGGCTTGGAACAGTATAAAAGCACCTTCATATCAAAGTAAGTCTTTTCATTATATTTTTATGGTTTTGGCCAGTGTAGTGGTTAGAAATCGAACAGGAAAAATTAGGGTTACCCATCTGGCTGAGTCGCGGATTAGGTCGCTCTCTTTAAGACGTTCGCGGCACTGCCTTCTTTGCGCACGGCAGACTATCAGCCGGTCGCCTCCAGGATAAAACAGCCACTCTAAATTTGTTGCTCATCGGTTTTGTGCGAAAACCGGAGCTCTTTGAATCTCACTCTCTCTCGTGTTTCTGCTCTCTGAGGTGTGTTTAGAGGGTCTAGGGGGTCTGCTATTTATAGGAGCAGAAAACCCAGAATATTCCCTCTTTCTTTGGGAATAAGTCATATTTTAATTAGGGAGATAATTACTCCCATAATTAAAATATAATCTATTAAGATAATTATTTCTAATTATCTCCATAATATTCCTTTTATTAATTATCCATCTTAATTTCGTATTATGGAAAAATACTGGATAATTAATTAGGAATTTCATTATAGCTTTTCAAAGCTATTCATCCCAACCCCCCACTTGAATAGTTTGAAACTATCTCTGAGCATCAACAGTTCCATAAGATCGGGCATAAGCTAAGGTATCGCGAAGATTTGAACCTTAACGTAGTGGTTACACTTCCGATTTCATAAGGGTGACTCGTAGTCTTGAACCCTATCTCAGACAATGTAGCACACCGGATCTTTTCATTGAGTGATATTCTCTCATAGGCCGTGCGTTTATGGCCATGCACGTTATCCCGGTTTAGTGAACGCTCTAGCAACTTTGTGCCTCCAAAGTTCCATAGGGAGCGGCCCCACTCCCACATTCACATAGGGTGAGTCTATCAGAAGTACCCCCAAAGTAAAGTACTTTACTCCACATAAAGTATAGATCTCATTAAGAGTTGAACTCAACCTCCAAGGCTTTGGGATTCCTGCTTCACTATGCATGAACTTTTCTCAATATTACTCATGACTTGTTATTACCCATTGAACCCGTTTCTTGGGATCTCCAGTCTATCGGGTCGGGTTACCATCACTTGTAATCCATGGTTCGGTAGGCATAAGTCTCATACCTTTCATGGTATTTTGGACTTTTCTCTCTAGGTGATCCTTTCGTCAAATGATCAGCTAGATTCTGTTAGGATCTTACATGATCCACCCTCATTGCTCCTATCGTTAGGAGATCTTTTACAGTACTGTGCTTACGACGAATTTGTCGTATCTTTTCGTTCTAGAACCGGTTCTCTTCTTTAGTAATAGCTGCGGTGCTATCACAATGAATCATCTACCGGAGGGATCGGTCTTTCCCATAAGGGAGTCTCTAGTAATGATCCTCTCAATCAACTTTCCTCTTTACTAGCCATTGCTAGTTCTATAATTTCTTATTTCTTAGTTGATTGAGCCAGGATCGTTTACTTCTTATACTTCCAAGACATAGCTTCTCTATCGATGTTTAAAACATAGCCTCTTGTTGTCTTGGAGTCCTCTATAGGGTATTCTAATCCGCATCATTATACCCTACCAATACAGCAAAACCTTTGATAACAAATACCCAGGTTTTTCTGTTCTTTTAAGGTGTCTCATGACCCCTTTCAATAGCATTTCAATGCTTCATACTAGGACAATCAGTAAGCCTGCCAAGTACCCCCCACTAAATCGGGTATCATGTTTATCACCTGCCTCCTGCAGACTGTAAATGCTAGTATATTCAAACTTTCTTACACCATCTTAGGTGTTCTTTAAATATTTATACAAGCATCATCAAACATGTATGCAGGTGTACATCTTGTATTTTCCTAGTTATTAGGATCTCTAAGCATAACATTTGTTTCATTCAGATCCTTCACATTCAAAATTCTCAACCATCATGGTTTTTCAATTTTGACATCACGAGTCTTTGTTCGCTTAAAGCCTTAGCTATTAGGCGATCCTTATACTCATAAACTAAACCAATAGGTTTCACTTTTCTTTTAAGAATCCATTTATTACCCATGACTTCATTGCCAAGAGGTAATTCTCAAAGATGCCAAATCTTGTTCGATTCTATCGATATATTAACCAAGGCTTTTCAACCAAGAGGTAACTCTACAAGATTTTAAGTCTTATTAGACTCCAATAATTCCATTTCGTTAATAATGGATTCTCCCACAATTCTGCATCTTTATGGAAGTTCGAACTTCTAGCAGACTTGTAGGATCTTTCTTTCTTAGGGTGTAAATAACAAATTCATAACCAAAATCCTTCAATGATTTATGGTTCATTTGTCTCTTCTGAGTTCATACTCAGATTCATCACCCCCACTAGTTATCCATTATTTCTAATAGTAGGCATACTATTTCTTAATATAAATGGAATCTATTGGCATCAATGGTTTTCACAAACTAATGAGTATTTTGTTTCATAGGCTTATGTGTTTTACAATAACTTACACACTCATATGCTCTTCTAGTTATCATGTCACTGATTCTCTAATGCTACCACATCCATGCCACATATCGAATAATCAGTGCAATCATAATGCAACTAGGCATTTCAAACTATTTCGAATAACTAGTTAGACAACCAGAGCACTCTAAAGAGCAATAAATCATTTATTGTCTTTTCCATCAAGTTTACCCACATCAAAATAAATAAGATCTATCGATTCTCATTCTCTAACCACATATTTATGGGTCATTTAGCTTGAATATACAAAATTCATATTTTTCTCAAGCATCCAATAATAATATGGGAATGCGATATAAGATATTCTAATTCTTCACAAAGACACACTTGGAAGAATTTATCTTGTCTACTTAACCATTCCTTATGTCTAGGAAAGTCAATGACTTTCTAGAGGTATGGTTCTCTTCCACTTTCCCAGAACCATTAACAATAGTGGTGAGGGTCTTGCCCAACAACACTTTCTCCTTCAATATGCCTCAATGCATGATTGAGCTTAGCTAATTTATCATATGCATGCCTTGAGGCGTCAATATCCAACCACCATTTTTTCTTTTTCAGAATTGCCATTAAGGCCTATCACCCCATTAGTGATTATTACCACCAAATCCTCTTATTTAGTCAAGTTAACACTAGGTTAAACTTGTTCTTACACTTTCATGTCTTATGACCTAGTTTCTCACAAATTTAACAGAGAAACATAGCGTCATTCTTAGAGGATTGGGTGACAATCTTATGGTTACCACAAAGGGTACCATTCTATTTGGTATGGATCTGGTTCGGCTTGCTGCTCTAATTCTTGAAACTTTAATGTTTCAAAGCAGTCTAAGTGGTTCGTGTAGTACTGATAATAGTACTTCTTACAATATCGTTATTATGGGCAATAAACCCATTCTATTCCCATATATTCTTCAATGCACACATTTAGACAAAACCATTCTATTCCACAACATGTATTCTATCTATACTCTAATCATCGAGGTAATACATCTCAATGTCCACATATACATGCATAAATTCTATTTTACTTTCTCGCATTAATATGGATTTCTCAATACCATGCATAGAACTCAAGTGAAATAGATTCTAGCTTTCTTTTTGGCATTCACTTTGTATGACATAGCTTCTAATTTATCATTCATTAATAACCCACGAAAAGGTTTCAGCTCTTACCTCACTTCGGAGAAGTCATTACTTTCTGGTTTCAGAAAGAATAGCTAGCACCACATGTAGCTCCCTTGATTCTCCACTTTAATTGCCCACCATACACCACATTCGTCACACTCTTCTCCCGAGTCTAGCAGCACTACTGATGCCATAGCCAAACGGCTTTATATGCCCTCTTCGTGCCCATATTACGACTTGCCAAGTAATATTCACATCAAAAGGAATAAAATTGGCGTCAATAATATTTACCAACAAGATTTCATGGTAATAATTAACATTCCAACAATGTTAATCTCAAGCAATGTTCATCATAATAATCACGTATAGCTTCCTGTTGTGGAAAACGACACTGACGTTTTTGCAGGATAGCTAGCCGATATGGCCACATAACTCGTCGGACCTGCAAAATCAAACATTAGCTTTCACCAACAAAGAGTTTTCGCGGATGGCACCAATATTCCCTTATTATGGAGCGGGATTAATTCTAGCATCAGGACGCTGCGTTGGGGTTCAACTGAAATTCCAGCTTCTCCCGTCTGTACATGAGACGAATCTGGTCCAAGGGGTCCGACGACCGGCCTACTCCTTTCTTCTCAAAAAGGACGATCAAACACACACAAAAAACACAATTCATATTAATTAATTAATTAATTAAGCACCCTTCTAAATAAAATTCCTCTACGTTTCAGTGGCTGTAATATTTGGTGCTTGCGGTGTCCCGTTGTCAATCACAACTTGCACATGAATAATTAACTCAATTAAATGCACAAGAACAAAATCACTGGCGGAATAGGGAAGGGCACAAGAATGACTCCCTTCCATCGTATCCCGGTCAAACACGCTTCCTTCTGCTTTGTGTTCCGGGTGAGGCCGCGGTCTCGATCTGGAGTGAGCGGAGTTAACTGATCTTCCGCGGTCCGCGTTCTCTCGTCGATGGCAAAATCCACAATCCGGATTTGTTTTCCATTAGCGCAGCGATCGATATCGTTGAGGCCAGAATCAGTATCCTGTTCGCTATATATGACAATAACCAAACGTCTTAAAATTGTTAGAAATCGAACAGGAAAAATTAGGGTTACCCATCTGGCTGAGTCGCGGACTAGGTCGCCCTCTTTAAGACGTTCGCGGCACTGCCTTTGTTGCGCACGGCAGACTATCAGCTGGTCGCCTCCAGGATAAAACAGCCACTCTAAATTTGTTGCTCATCGGTTTTGTGCGAAAACCGGAGCTCTTTGAATCTCACTCTCTCTCGTGTTTCTGCTCTCTGAGGTGTGTTTAGAGGGTCTAGGGGGTCTGCTATTTATAGGAGCAGAAAACCCAGAATATTCCCTCTTTCTTTGGGAATAAGTCATATTTTAATTAGGGAGATAATTACTCCCATAATTAAAATATAATCTATTAAGATAATTATTTCTAATTATCTCCATAATATTCCTTTTATTAATTATCCATCTTAATTTCGTATTATGGAAAAATGCTGGATAATTAATTAAGAATTTCATTATAGCTTTTCAAAGCTATTCATCCCAACAGTAGTTGTCCACTTGTACCAATGAACCCACGGGGAAGTAATTCTATTCTAACAACAATCTTTTGTTCCTTTGTTGTTGTATAGAACCATTTTAGTTGTGTAGCAGAGATTGATCGATTCTCATGTCAATGTTACGTGTATAAATGAAGATCTTGTCATGGAGCCAATGATAAAAATATTTAATACCACGGGGTGCTCTAACTAACTTCCACATATCGTACCTCTCTTTCTACTTGTGAATCTACTTTAAACAGTTGGATCACGATGACCGACAAGCTTACTTCCATTGCGAGGAAATCGAAGATGTGAGGATCCGAAAATGTGACCGATTGGTTAATCAATATTGGTATAGTCATTGCATAGGACCCAGAAATTGTGACCCTTTCTATAAACTTTTTTCAAGGGTTGTACAAAAAACATGGGAGGAAATGGGCAATCGAAGCTAGCAGCATAGCAGCTGAGAGCACTGCTACTACTGGGAAGAAGATGAAGTCCAATACTTCAACTTTTGGAAGTGCATGACATCAACATCAAATGAATAATTAGTACATCACGATTATCCATGAATTCACTGTATACATCTATCACAACAAACCACTCTTATTTAAATGTTCTAACCTTTTGTTGACAAAACTATGGATAATGGATATTGAAGCATCACGATTATCCATGAATTCACTGTATACATCTATCACAACAAACCACTCTTATTTAAATGTTCTAACCTTTTGTTGACAAAACTATGGATAATGGATATTGAAGCAGAAATGTTGCTGTGAAGCGAGCATTTATGCAGTTTCAGGAAGAAGTAGCAAGCTAAGTCACCAAAATACAAGCCTTAAGAAGTTCTTGTCTCTAGGGGTGACAATTGGTTGGTATGCCGAGTATGGGACGGGGGAAATCGATTACCAGTTACCGAATTACCGGTAAACTGTTACAAACCGGTTATACCGATTTACCGTAAGGAGTAGCTACGAAAGGTTTTTGATTCGGTTTACCGGAAAATTACCGAACCAAATTTCTGAGCAGTGGGGGCAGGTTGTAATATTTTGATTATTCTGAGTTTTTTTTTTACATTTTGGTAATTAATAATTTATTATTAACTTTTATTTATAATATTTTTGAGGCCTATACTTACTTACTTCCATTCATGTATGTAATATTTGTGAATAATTAAATATATGTTATATGTTAATGCATTAACTTAATATTTGTCAAACTCAAAGTTGCTACTATTAATCTATTTAATTTAACATAAGTTCAAAGTGTCAACAATCATGATTCATGAATCAACATCAACTCTAATCAAGCATTATCATTCATCAAATATTCAAATTCATCAAACGACAATTCGACAAATTTCGTCAAATTCAAAGGGACAACAAGTCAACAATCAACACAAATACATAATCATCATTCGTCAATCGACTAAAGTGCCTAATGACAATGTTTTCAATTCAACACAAGTTCAAAGTACAAACTTAAAAATTAAAATAGACAACCAAATAAACAATAGCTCATTCTCCTCCTTCTCCGGTAGAACTTGTACCACCACCAACATTTGCACAACCTTGATGCTTCAAAGTCCTGAGAAGAGTATCACCGGGATCATCATCGGCATCTTGGTTCATGTCTTCTTCGGTGGATTCTTCATCATCACCCTCCTCCTCCTCCTCCTCCTCATCATCAACCCTAACAGGTAAGCTATGTGCTTCACTTGGGATGTCACTTGCAGATTCCACTCGAGATTGGAAAGTATTAGTAATTAGTGCAAATAAAATACACAAATGTTAGTATGTTACTAATGGAATGGTTTAAAATTTAAATAGTAAAGAGTATAGACAAATTAGAATAATAAATTGAATTCTTACCACTTTCATAATCGATTGTCTCTTGATCTTCTTCCTTATCATTCAGTTCATCTGCAGTCTTTCCACTTTCATATCTTATCCAATCTTCAGCACAAATCAAGGCCTCTATAATGTTTGTGATCAAAGAATACCTTAAATGACTAAGAACTCGACCTCCACAACTGAAAGTGGACTCCGATGCAACAGAGGATACTGGAACTGCTAATATATCCCTAACCATCTCTGAAAGAATGGGATATCTAACACTGTTCCGAGCCCACCACTTCAGAATGTCAAACTTTCGATCATCAATGTAACACCCTTATTTTACATTACAAAATGAAACAGTAAAATACATCGAGTTTAAACATTCTCGGGCTCGAGCTTTATATATATTTTTCCAAACTTCAAACCATAATTTACATTTGCATCAGAGTCAAAACAGAAAACCGGGGATGTCCGCTTTCTTACAAAATCCACACAACATAAAAACATTTAAGGAGTTCGGACTCCTCCGCCCACGTCATGGCTTCCCTTCACGCTTGAGTCCCGATATCTACAGTACACACCTTACTTCTGCTCTTGATCTGAGGAAAAATGGTGACGAAGGATGAGTCGTCGCTCAGTGAATAAATTTTAAGCTCAGATCGACATCAATACAAAAACAGTATTTGGCAGAAACACCCTAGCACATAATAGGACTTAAGTTGTTTATCACACTTTTCATTCCACTGAATCAATAAAGTCCACATGTTCTACACATAAAACAGATGACAGACAGAGACATTTTGCTTATACAATTTCACTTTCAAATTTGCTAAATGATATCCTCCCCGGGTAGTACAGTAGTGGAAAGCTGCAGGGTAACCATGTACAACCATCAGATAACTTGAGTACCGCGGGACAAAACCCAGTCTGGTACGAACGGGAGTTCACAAGGCACGAAACAGGAGTCCTCGCACCAACAGGAGTATCGCGGTACACAACCCAGACCGATACAAAACAGGAGTCGCCACGGGATTACCCCAGCCCGGCTAACTGAACAAAACATGAGTACCGTGGGTCGTCACCCAATCGGCACGGTGCGGAGCACGAGTGCTCAAACAGGAGTATCATTGGGTTTACCCATATCGACACAAACATGACACACTACTGTACCGAGGTATCATGTAGCTCTTTTACTTATTCTTATGTATTCACCTCTTTTCATTAATAGTTCATTTTGACACATGTCAATAATCATTAACCCATAGGCTCACTTATACACTATACGCTCAGAAGGATTTATAGTGCTTTGCACCCTCAGTCACAGCATAATGAAAAGTAAGCTGAGGAGCTTACTCTGAGTTATTCTTTTTTTCGGTAATTATCGACCTTTGCATTAAGAATCGCCTGGAAAATCCAGGATCCGCAAAAAACTCAGGAGCAATAGACCTGCTCCACTGATCCATTTACAAAATTAAACTAGAATAAACTAAGCTAGCTATCAAAACGTTAATAGACAGCGCAAATGAGGAATGAACCTAACTTCTTTAAGGAAAGCAGTGTTTCCCATAGCATAGTAGTTAAAATCATCAACTAACTGTTGTAGTAGCAATCTGGACTCTCTTTTGCTGCCTTGATATATACGAGTGCAGCGCTCCTGCCAAATAATGCTGAGACACCAGCACCACATAGCGCCCTGCACCAGCCCTTTACCTCCTTTCTTTACAATTCTGCATATTCACTGTAATAAACTCTCCCACGAGCTTGGCCAGAGACTCGAGCCGAAAATGGCTGCAAAAATCTGCAAGGAAAAAGAACACTTGCAGAACAGATGTGTTCTGCTTTCCACCTCACTGTCACATAATACACACATCGCATCAGTCACTTTCCCCCATTGTTTCAACTTAACTAGGGTAGTGATTCTGTTCAGAATTATCAACCACTCAATAACTCTATTCTTTGGAATCACAAACTTATTCCAAATCACTTGCCACCATTCAACTTTCAGAATTAGCAAACCGAAAATGGAACCAGCCGCGAATAGCCAAAAGATTTCGCCATATCCACGACCCTGTCTGAGAAGAAGATAGGTCCCAAATTGATCTCCCCCTCAGCCTATATCACTGAATCCATGCCACCCAGAAACTTCCACTCTGTATCAGTAAAAGCCATAAAAGTCTTGCAACACACGCCACATTCCAGCTGCCTAAATCCCTTAGTCCCATTCCTCCTTCCTTCTTTGGAACTGCAACAGAATCCCAGGACACTTTCGCACGTCCTATTCCCTCGCCAAACCATAGAAAATTTGAGTAGATTTTATGAATCTGGTCTAATACCTTCTTTGGCAAGATAAAGATATTCATCCAGAATTGGACCAGAGAATAGAGCACAGATGATATCAATTGAAGCTTGCCTGCATATGAAAGCTTATTAGCATGCCACGATCGAATTCGAGCCGTGATCTTATCCACCAACACAGCACATTCTCTGCTCGTTAGTTGTCTAGCAACTAATGGGAGACCCAAATAACGAACAAGAAATTTCCCCTCCGCAAAACCAGAAAGAGATAGAGCATTATCTTTAAACTGAATAGTTGTTCCCCCAAAAAATACCTCGCACTTCTTTGGATTATAACTCAGGCCCAACAAAGAGTTGAACTTATTCAAAATCCCTTGAACCTTGAGTAATGCTACTGCAGATCCCTCAGTGAAGATCAATAGATCATCAGCAAAACAAAGATGAGTGAGGTTTATTGATCGACACTGAGGATGATAGGGAATCTGCTTTGCCTGCACAGCATTATCAAGCATTCCAGAAAGGGGTTCAAGGGCAATAGCAAAGAGATAAGGGGAGAGAGGATCTCCCTGTCTAACCCCTTTATGAGCTTTGAAGAACCCAAATAATGAACCATAGAGACTTATGCTGAAATAAGCAGAGTTTAGACAAACCCGAATCCAATACATAAATCAGTAGGGAATTGCATAATGGACATCACACAGAACAGGTATTCCTAGTGTACTAAATCAAACGCCTTATGCAAATCTATCTTAATGGCACAACGAGATGATATAGTTTTCTTTGAGTAGTTGTGTACAATCTCTTGAGCCATTAAGATATTATCTAGAATACTTCTCCCTTTAATAAACGCCGATTGATTCTTACTTATCACCTCAGGCAAAGCAATCTGTATTCTGTTTGCTAGAAACTTAGCAATTATTTTGTATAAAACATTAATGCACGCAATTGGTCTAAAGGCAACTAACTTATCTGCATTTGGTATCTTTGGTGCTAAGGTGAGAGAAGCTGTGTTAATACCTCTTGGCAGCTGCTTTGTTCTAAAGAACTCCTTAACTCCAGCACAAATGTCCGCACCAATCAACCCCCAATGCTTTTGATAAAATTCCACTGTCCATTCATCAGGGCCAGGAGCCTTTAATGGATCCATAGCAAATAAAGCCAATCTAATTTCTTCATTTACCACCTCTGCACAGAGTTTGACCTTGTTAGGCTCACTGATATATCTCTTAATATAGTCAGCAATAACAGTACCATCAGGTTGTACTGCAATATTGATCACTCCATAGAGTGTATGATAGAAAGCTACTGCAAGCTTCCTAAATGTCTTGGAGGTTTGGGAATTACAGATTTGAAGTTCAGAAATCAAGCCCTCTTGTGTAAGTGGTTTTGGAGATTTGCCGTCGAGAGGGAGTCGTGGTGGCGCAATCTTATCGACGTGAAGTTCCCTAATAGTGCGTCGATTTGGTCACCGGGGAGGCCTCGTGGAGCTGTGGGTGTTAGC